TCGACTACGCCGTCGTCAGAAGTGGGCTCGCAGCTCACTGTGCTTAAACTGCTCACTCTGAGTATCTGTCAGCTCTGCAGCTTGTAGTGGCCATTTCTCTCTTTCCTTGTTACTTCCTACAAACAAAGAGCTAAAAAGAACACTTTTGTGCTCTCCATACACCGGTCCTGACCGGTGTTCCTCAGTGGTTAGAGCATCAGCCTTAGTACCAAAGGGTCCTGGGTTCGATTCCTGGTCAAGGGCATGGTCGATGTTTCTCTCTCATTGATGCTTCCATCTCTCTACCTCTCTCCCTTCCTCTCTCTAAATTCAATAAAGACAAACTAAAAAAATAAAACTAGAAAAAATAATAATAATACTCAGTAAACGTGACTGAAAAAACCCTCCACCCCAGCCCCCCTGCCTGGTTCTAGGGAGCCTAATGGAGAGAGGAGCCTGGGCTGACGGCGGCCCTGCCCACGGAGGAGGGCAGAAGGCTTTCGCAGGCTCCTCGGCAGCCAGCCATGCCCCCACCCGACCTCGCGGGCCCCTGACGCCCCGGGCAGGACAGAGCTGCCTGCGTCCCTCCCGTCACCCCAGCCACAGAGCACAGCCTGCCTGCCCTGAGGCCCCGACCTCCCGCGTGGTCTAGGGTCCTAGGAAAGGGGCGTGCAGAGTCCAGGGAAGCACTTGCCTCCTCCGCCTCCCCAACCCCAAACAGAGCCCAGCTAAGGACACACCAGCCAGCTCTGGGCCCCGGAGCCTGCCTTTCGGAGAGCAATCGTCACACTGACTAAGAGAATCAGGCTGGAGGGCCTGCCCGCCTCTCCTGCTGGAGCTGTGGCGACGGAGGGAAGGCAGGGCGGCCCTGGCACACAGGCTGCCCGGAACAGGTCACGGCACGTACGCGCGAACTGCCACCCAAGACCTAATTCTGCTGCCCGAAGTGGGTCAAAGGATTTCACTTGAGCACTTAATGCCCTTAAGATACGCACAGAATTAAACTGGGTTCTGAAACGTCTTGTGTAACTTTCGTTCGCGCTCCCAACTTGGCTCCTGCAGTGGGAGGAAATGCGGAACTTAAAGACGAATCCTAGCTGAGCCGCACGTTCAGGGCACGGGGACAGCGGGGTGCACAGGAAGCCCCGCCCACAGTGCTGCCAGCTCTCAGCCTGGACGCCCCTCC